GGTCCATAGCCCGCTGATCGCCTATATGTACTCGTTCGCGGCAAACCCCCCACCCCCACCCCGCGCGTGGTCGGCGCTTCCGGTTTATCTGCATGACGGAATAAATGTCAGTCAAAGTACCGCAGCGCTGAATAGTGAAAAATGGCCTGGATGGGAAGGGGGTTTAACACCGCGGATGTCAACTGGTTAAAGTGTCACCAAACACTCCATGCGTAACAAGCCACCAAATCCATCATAGACTATTAGACCACCGCAGTCTCTTAAAATGACTGCTTTGCTTACCCGCAAAAGAGCCTCTAACCCGTAACTTCCATTTTGTGGTTGTGAGCACCGAGGTATTTAAAATAGCACTCAAAAACTTTTTTATTAACGATAATAAATGTTCAGTAACTTGGATGGGAGAAAGAATGAATGGGCTACTAGTTCAGTGATGTCACTGCACACCTCTAAGCCACTGCCGTGGTGGCTATTGGGGCTTGTAGTTTAGTCACAGATCCTCTCAAAGGATCTGTGAATGGATGATATGACTGTGTGGGTGTAGAAATGAGCAAACACGTCCCAGTATAAAAGAGAGCAGCAGCCTGTGGTGAAAGGAATCTAGGATTCAGGTAAATGTGGCTATGGGGCAGGAGGAGGGTAGTTGCAATATGACCATGTTTCGTGTTATATACACATACATTGAATATGAGTGTAACATGAAACATGGCCCCAAAGGTAAACGTAGCCTTTAAGTCACCTAGCTCAATGGTCCAAAAACGTTTACCTTTCATTAATCATAGTATAAAAATATATTTATATATAATTTTTATTTTCCTAATTTTGTTTTACACTTTATTTTTTTATACTTTGTAACAAAAAAAGTAAAAAAAACAAACCTTTTTTTTGTCAGTTTATATTAAGCAGTCACTATGACTGCTTGATAAATTAACTTTTTTTAATTTTTGGCTATTATTAGGCTGCTCCAAACTTAGGAACAGCTAATAATAACCATAGAGACTGATCCTGACAGCATGTCAGATTCAGATCTCACTAAAGCGCTTTGATCGTGCCTAGACGATCAGAAATGATACATTTTAAACAAAGAGATACATTGTATCTCTTTGCTTGAGATGTATCACATAGCTTCATAAACATCGGGCCAGTCTATGGAGCTGTCAAAACAAATAGCAGGGAGGTGAGTCACTCTGCTGCCTCTGCTATTTTCAGCTGTCAAATACCGGAGCGCTATTTAGCTCTCCCGTATTTGCATGTAACGGCTTCATTCTTTCATTAACGAAAGAAATAAGCTTTTACAAAAGCTTAACTATTTCATCAATGAATGCCTCAATACTGAGGCATTCATTAATGACTGGTAACCGCTGAGAATCAGCAGTTACCACCATTACAGAGCCTGATATAACTCGTCACGTACATTGTACGTGGCCAGTCATATAGGCAAAGTGCCGGGACGTACAGTGTACGTCTCCCGTCATGAAGGGGTTAAATAAAACTATATTGACACCCGAGCTGGGATGAATATTTAAAGATTATATAGTAGAGGTCTGAAATACTTACAGTACTTCTCCAGGAGTAAATCCTGCTCCAGGCTCCCGCCATGGTTGTCCACATACCTTAAAGCGTATTTACACTTTTGCAATCAAATTTGAGAAAATCTCTATATATGTTTGTAATATGTATCTATTCACACAGCATAATTAAAAAATATTTTAGAAAAAATATTTCTTATGTTTTAGATGTTTTGTTGCAGCAGGCAACATGGCTGATTCCAGGTTTTTCTCAACACCTTCACAGTGATCTCTCCTATAGAAAGACTTAGGACTGAAGTGAGGATTTTTTTTCTCTCATTAACTTATTTAACATACAATGGCGAAACCAAGGTTGTAATCCTTTAACCCCTTGCAGCCCCTTCTAACATTACAAAAGAAGGAGAAGCAAGTAGAAATTTTAACCTTTAAGAAGTCAAGAAACCCTAGCTCAAGTAAGAGCAATTTAAACTGCAAGATGCATTTTTAAATATTTTTTAGCTTATGCTATGTGAATAGGAAAATGTAACAATTATAAAATAGGTTTTATCCCAATTTGGCTGTGAAAGTGGAAATAACGTAAAGGCCTATACACTTGGTCACTTATTCTTTTTATGCTGAAGCGAAAGTATAGTAGTTTAATCTGGATGGTCTATACCAGAGATCACATGACCAAGTAAGCAAACTGTATGTTCACCTCCAAATAAATACCTTTCGGCAGCACTTTCTCCATGGACTTTCAGGTACTCTTTGTTTATCCTTCCCAGGAAAATTGGTAATATGGCTCCATGTTAATATTTGGAGTACAGCCTACATTTACAATACATAGTAGTATTCAATTTGATATTTTACACTAGCCCAAATATATTATGGCTCGTTTGTACAGCAATTTGTTAAAATCCAATGAGGACAATCAGATTTTTTTACAGAATAGAACTGTTAATTTCCATCCCTAGTGTATAATTGACATTTCTCCCTTAAATATCTTCATGATGTTCGCAAGGAAAGCACATGTATCTCTCTGGATTATCTTTTTCAGCCTTGTCATGAAGGATTTGAGATGCAGTTATCAATTCCAAGTAGTACAAATGTGAGTTCTGACAGCTTGTAGGCAACCTTCAAAATCTCTACTGCTGCAAGCAAAAGTACCAGTAGCATATCATTTTTTTTCCTCTAGAGTGCTCAGTGTATCCAACATTTAAGTCATTTCCATGAACATTTTGCTTTTGAATCGACATATAACCCTGCAACAAAAAATATCTACTTTTAAATTCTCGGGTGATCAAGTCAAGTAGGTGGTATTCATTGACTTTGTAAAGCCTTTTGTTCTTGTAAACCAAATTTTTAAAGGTTTTCAGCAATAGTGTAATAGTGAATAGCTGCTTTAGGCACAAACTTGTACCGTGTTAATGGATTCTCCTCTCCCATGAGCCATTCATTTTGCTGAGAAAGGGAGTTTTATTCTCTAACTTGACCTAGAGCACTCTTTCTGGTGAAAAAAAACAGTATTGCAGTGTGCATTAATTATATTTAAAGAGAGCTATGAGCTCTCAGGAAAAAAAATGGATCTAACTGCTAACATGGGGACATGGGGAATCTGGGGGAGGTCAGGAGCATTTAATGCTGAAAATGCACATTTTAAAAGCCCAAAAAACGAGACGTTTCAATTACAAAACATGTAAAGTACAAATTTACACACCATGGAATAAACATTTGTTTAAAGAGAAAATCTAACGGTTTCTATTTTAAAAAATAATTTTTTTCAAGTGTATGTGTAGCCAAGACTGCTTTTTTTTGTTTAGTTTTGGATAGAGTGGGGAAGGATAAGAATCCGTCTTGGGTTTTTATTGCTATCTGGTGCTCACTTATTTTTCCAGTGACAACAGTTTCACCAAACAAGAACTGAGGTCAAATCTGCTGTTATGACACAGACAGAAATGCATTTTTTTTAGAAAAGTAGTGGAATGCTGGAACCCATCAGCTTTTCATTGCTGTCGTTCCTTTTCCTTTTTCCTCTTTTACTGTCTGTTGAAATTGTTGTCACCATGAAAGAAAGTGAATAGAAATCTTTCTAATGGAGCCCTGGATAGCAGTACAAACCTTAGACCTCTATTCTTACCCCACTCTAACCAAATTTTAAGGAGTTTTATTAATATATTATTAAGTTCTTTAAGGATATTTAAAATTATATTTTGTATAATCTACCGGCAAACTCGATCTCTGATTCAAATTTTCATAGGACCTCACAAAGCTGGCAGTGAGAGGGAGGGAGGTAGCATAAGTCCTCCCCTGAGTCATACAGCTGTATGTGTAAATTTGAGCTTGAGCTATCATAGGAGCCCAGATCTCCACCTGCAGGCTGGAATTGTAAATATAATGTATTCATATGCAATATGCCATATTTACCTTATAGAAATGTTTTCAAACATGTTTTTGCAGTCCTAAATAAAATTAAGAAAATACCAGTATCCATTTACTTACATTGAACTGCGTGATTATGCTTCTCAATATTTAGACCGTGGACAATGTGTTGAAAAATTACTTGCCAATGAATACACATTCCCGTGCAAGTCAAATAAAAAAAACACACGCTTGAATGATGGACCTCAGCAGAATTTTACCTAAGCTAATGAAAATTCCCTTGCAAAGTAAACAGCCTATTTGCCTATAGTGAATCAACCCCATAGACTCAACTTTACAATCCATGATATAAATATATAATAAAACTTGGATTTTTTTAAATATAACTCACTATTGTACTACTTGGCCACCTGGCATCTGCATGGTCTGGTGGGACTATAATTATACTGTCAGTTACCACAATGAAGTATGGTAATACAACATAGAAAAATGATGAGTTTATATTCTGTAACTTGACATGAGTGAAATTGTGTTTGTAAGACACTTCTGTAGACCTTTAACTCCCAATCAGTAGCAAATGCCTTGGTGACTTTATGACCTTTGAAAACTCTCACCTGAAGAAAGAACTGTCTGTAAAACTCCAATTCTTTTTCTTTTTAATATATAATTTGAGAGGGATAAAATTGTGACAATATATAGTCAGGATGGTGTCTTCTGGTTCTGCTTTTTTGGTAGCAAGAAATTAAATTAACCACTAAACAATGATTAGCATTGATTTTTAGCTACATTAATAAAATGTTGTTTTGATCCTGTGTGTCCTGGTATAATTTTAATGAGAAATAAGCATTGAAAGATGTGGTAATGAAAAGCTTATGCTGCATGCTGTTGGGTACACAATGTGCTGGTTTAGAATAAAAGGCGCTGTATAAGAGGGCCCTCTCTGTGTATTATCCCTCCACTTTTACTGATGGATTTCATATGGCTGTGAACTGCACATTAGGTCCTGCATTCAGAACTCTCATTAAAATGCATTTGGTCCAGCAATCAGTTGGAGGCTTCTGCTAATATGTTAAGCAATTAAATGTAGTTATCTCCTCTTTTGTTTTCTTTGTTTAGGTATTTATTTATGTGAATAAAGGGAGCGCTGAGAGTGAATTAACCATTTCTTCTACTGGCCCTGGGGAAGACCGCTTATGAAACAGAAGACAGGCCAGCCCCAGTGAATGCTGTAAGTGGACTGGGTCATACGTTTTGCATGTATGATCATCACTATGAATTTAACTTTCTTTTTTCAGCGCAGCAAATTCCCCATTATCCAGCATTCAAGCAACTGGCACTCTCAAGCAACTGACAAAAAAATAGAGCACATATGTTCTCGATTTTTTTTTTCTTTGCTGGTGGCTTGATGCACACTAAAAAATTGCCGGTTGGTAGGTGCACACTAATACATTTCATCAGCAACTAGATTTATTGAAAAATTCTCTGTCTACATATTGTTGCCGGCCAGCGAATGTAAACAACGGGGAGCAATAGCCAGCCTGCTATTGGCTATTGCAATTTGAAATAGGCAATAGCAGGCTGGCTATTGCACCCAGCCACTGAGCAGAGGATCAGACCTGGGTGTGGGGGGGTTTGCTTGAGAGTTACTATTAATGCTGAAGCAACCAGAAACTACAGTTATCTGGCATCTACCGATCCCAGTAGGTAACAAAAAAGTGGGAGTTTACTGTATTATGATGTTGGGTGTAAAAATGTACTGTAAAAATGTACTGTAAAAATGTACACAGAACAAGACTTTGTATAGTTGTACAAAAACTTTGCCAGCATTGAATGTAGTCACATTGGTAAAAATCGGGACCCCTTCACTAGTGTTGCAAGGAATATGACAGATTTCATCCAATAGACTGTTCATAATGCAAGAGTAAAAAGTGATTCCCTGCTTTTAACTAGTACTACCTTCCCTTCATTTAAAACCAGTTATAGAAAGGTATGAATAAAAGATAGTGGTTTCATGAGTTCCAAGTGAATCAATAGACACTTTTTTGGGTAACAGAAAAAGTTATAGACACCACTCCGTGTAAGCAGTAGATACTCTCTGTCAGACTGGGCATTACATCTACCAAATGATCCCCTAGTGCAGTGGTTCTCAACCTTTCTAGGGCCGGGACCCCCTGGTAACATTTGCCAAGTTGTGGTCACCCCCAACGGTAAAATTTAGGGATGACGCGGCTGCTTCAGCGACATCTGGCGGCGTGGTGGGAGAACTGACACTACTCCGCTGGGAGAGTGCTGAGGAGGACTCTCACCTAGCACAGCAGAAATCACACAGCGACCCACAGGTTGAGAACCACTGGCGTACGCCGTCAGAATAAAAAAAAAAACCACCATAGTAATGCATAGCTAGATTTATATTGGCTATTTCACTTTGCAATAGCCAATAGCAAACTAGCTATTGCACCCGCCCTCTGCTGCTGTCAATCACTAGAAGAGGACCTGTTGGAGAACTGCATGTCCCCCTCTGCTGATTGACAGCAGCAGAGGGCGGGTGCAATATCTAGTTTGCTATTGGCTATTGCAAAGTGAAATAGCCAATAGGAATCTAGCTATGCATTCCTATGGTGGGTTTTTTTCTGACCTACGGTGGCCAGCGGCCCCCGATGTCGGAAAAAAAACCGATCGCAGGGAAGGTTTACTCTGCTTTACACTTTCCGGGAGAGAGTGTTTGTTTCTTTCCCGGGCGGCCAGGAGCCGCTATCTAATTGTGGGAGACTCCCGGGCGACCCCTGGCAAATCGTGATTCGACCGCCAAGGGGGTCGCGACCCACAGGTTGAGAACCGCTGCCCTAGTGGATATCTACAGCACTATGACACACGCTATGAAAAAGTGTAATGTATTGTCTGAACTTTTATCACAAAGTGGTGAAACAAACACACATCAAATTGCACAATATAATTTTTGATCCCATGGCATGCCCTCATGTTTAGAAATTTGAATGGGTCCCATTGAATGCACCATGGATGTGGGACAAAATGCTAAAAATCATATTGTCTTAATTTTGTTTACATACCAATACATAACTGTCAAGTGTCTTGATTTTCTGAAGACTTTAATGATTTCTTAAAGTAGAACTGTGGCCTCCCGTTACAAAAAAAGACTGTACCACTTAATTATAAGTCTACCTGGACTCACAGTTTTCACTTAGTCCCTGTTTAAAGTCCCACAAATACCTATTCAGCCTGCCACTGAAGTGCAGATTTCTTTAATGATGTGACAATGATGCTGCACTGCTCTGGAATTCTCTGGGATTCAGAGCAGAGTTGCCACTCTGGTGTAGGCTGTACTTGCTTACACTACAGTGGGATGACAAAATGTTGCAGGCTATCAGCTACCACTGATTCACAAGACTGTAGCTTGTCAATCAGCACATGGTCCCACCTAATCCTGCCCGCTGCTTTCTGGATTGAATGCTCTTTGAAGACTCTTTTACTGAAACACTCCCTCCGTGAACTGCAGTGGCTGGGAGAGGGAGCATGTGAGACACAAATGGAGGAGGATTTGCCTGAGTCAGGGAAGGTAAAGGAAGTTTTTGTTTACTTTATGAGACTTGTGCATCACAAACTAGCTGGATTTGGTACTTGTTCAGACTGTCATACAGGAGACTTTAGTTATACTTTCAATGAAAGTAAGCAAGACTTCAGCTTATCTACTAAAAACATATACGCCTTATTTTGACCAGTTACGACTTTGGCACTTTTTACTAAGTATTATAAGTTCAATGTCAGGGTCATTCAATAAAACACAAGGATCTGTGTTTAAAGAAAAGACAACCAATCAGAAATTAACATTCAGGGATCATTCTTCAGTCAAATGTAATTTGATTGGTTGGTATAGATTATTGTTCTTTAGAAATCAATTTTTTTTCTGCCTTGCCATATTATTCAATGTGTAGCATGATTCTATCTTACCACTTATAATCCCCAGTGTATGAGCCTCTATTTTGACACCATTGTAACAGGTAAATTGCAATGAGATCACTAATATCTAGATGACAGAGTATCCAATAGCGGTGGATATTGCAGTATATATCCCATAGCTGCACTTAGGACTTGTTCATACCAGCCAACACACTAAAATTGGTGATTAGGATAGGGGTTTCTGCTTTCTCAGCAAATCACGTTAAAAAAAACAAAGAACTATAGTCAATAAATGCAGAAATCTGTGCACCCTAACAATTAAACAGTCCTTGCTTTCTGTGTCGGATTGATCTACATTGGATAGCATGGTGTGTATACAAATACATTTGATAAAAAGATGATCAAATCATTATAAGAGTTTGTGGCCTGTGAATACATTGGAGATTAGCACTAAATAGTTAGGATTAGTTGCTAGTTGTATTAATAAATCCTCAATTATTAAAAATTAATAAAAAAATATTATAGCGGCCATTCAGTGATTACAGTGACTTCATTTGCACAACTGTGACTATTTGCTTAATCCAAAGTTCCATCAGTTAATCCATTTCTTCAAACAGTATTTGCATAGTCTTAAATATCTGGAAATACGAATGTGTTGCTTGGGCACTAACCCAAGAATGGAATCTGAGGTTTCACTAGTTTATAATTAGCCTGTAACAATGGAATGCTAAATGACTGCCTGGCTGAGCAAATATAAAACACAGTGGTTTAAAACATGTTTCTTTCATACCTTGGAAGGTGTTATTTGTTATATAAGAAGGCTAATCTACTATGTAGCATTTTACAAAGACATTTTTCTAAAATAAAATCTAGATCAAGGAGTCCGCTATGAAGCTTCTAAGGATCGGATGTCATGCAGAGAAGCTTGACATCTGGAAAGTTATGTTACATATTTTTAAATCTTTTTTGGTTCATTGAATTTGTTTTATACTGATTCTCCTGGCTAAATGCAGATTATAAGTAGAGAATATACCTGATTAATGGTTTATGGGGTATGAATTAATCTAGAATCTATAATATAAATATGATAGCATTAACTGCTTGAACAAATGCCTATGGGCCTAGCTTGGATGTGGAGAGAATGGGGATGATCAAAACATATCTAAAGCTAAAACATTTTTTTAACTTGGATAAAGCAGGGATTGGTTAACAGTAAATCAATCACTTTTTTTTCACCATCCGAGTCCCATTGTGGAGATTTTCCTTTACCTCCCGCATACACAACGGGAAGAAAATGTCTTCAAACTTAAAGAAAAATGCCCTCTGAAAATGTTTTCCTCTATTCGATCGTTACTAGACATGTAAGCTGCAGAAAAATTTGGTTTGGTTCAGATATTTAGTTATTTTGTGATTCGGATCCGAAATTCAATTCGGTTCGGGTTTCGGATTTGGACGAAATACAAATTTTCGTTAGTTTCGGATGAGTTTAGGAATATTCATTGCTAATACCACAGAAAACCATGTACAGGTGAGATAGGAGAACATGCCCAAAGTTATTACCCAGAAACTCACTAGAGTTGAGCTTTATGGGAGAATGATGAGAAGAAAGTCACTGTTTAAACAAAAAAAAAAATCAAACTCTGTTTATAGCTTGCCAAAGTCATTTGGACACCACAAATTTTGAAAAAGGTTCTCTGATGAGACCAAAACTGCTGCCTGTGGCAGAAAGTTAACACTACAGATAATGGTAAGAACACTATGTCCATGGTGTAAAGCATGGTGATGACAGCATCATGTTACAATAACTAAACCAAAGTTACACTGTAGTGGTTTCAGACCTAAATGTCTTAGAACTGCTCAAAGTCCAGACCTTGCCTATTACTGCATTACCATAATCATTAATGAAAAAGATTACTGTTTATGCCCCCATTAGATAGATTCAATCCTCTTTTTTGCCCTAGTGACTTGGTACAGTCCAAACTTGAGTTTGCCGACACGCCGAACAGAAGCTGTCAGTGCTCGCTCAATCAGCTGCAGCTTGGACATTCCCTGCCTTGCCACTGCACATAAACAAAGAGGCAGGATTCTGGTGACATCATTGATCTTATATGGCCGCATAAGCGAACCAAGCCTGAGCTTAACCCTATTGGTAACCAGTGTCATTGAGATAGAAAGCAATGAGAAATCCAAGTGTTTGGAGAAAAAAAAAAAGTGAGCATAAATCCTCCAAAAAGGTACAAATGTTCCAGTGACAACTGTCTAAGATGGACATTCCCCTCACTTTGGGGAGATTATCTCTAATTTCTTGCTACA